CCTCTAGCAGCCTGACATCCACCTCTAATGTCCTGACCTCCACCTCTAGCTGTCTGACCCCTACCTCTAGCTGGCTAAGCAGGCGGTGAAGCACCCGGTGCCGGGACCATGGCACAAGAACCCTGATATTGTGAGCTTCCCGGTGCCCAAGGGCAAAATCTAGCAATGTGCCTCGGGTCACCACAAGTATAATAGGACCACGGCTGTTCTGACTGCTGACCCTGTCGACCTGAGTAACCACCCTAAAAAATCTGGAGCGGAAGTGCACCGATAGGAGCTGGTGGTGCGTTGTAGGCTAGTTCATCGGAATGAGACATATGAGGGCCACGACCACCTAAAGCATTATGGGATGCCACGAACGCTGAATGAAACAGCTTGGGAGGATGGCCTCTACCAAAAGCATCCCTGCATCCAGATGAAGCACCACTGAATCCATCGGAATGACGAGGCCTCTTATCAAACCTCTGCTCTCTCTCCTATGAAAGAACAATCTTGATCCACCTGGTGAAATTAGCAGTCGTCTCAAAAGAAATCTCACCCTCAGTCTCCTTGGCCATCTGTAGATTGATAGGGTGAGCGAGTCCATCAATAAACCTCATCTCACTCTCTCACTCTCTCACTCTCTCTCTCAGTAGGAAGCATAAGAAGAGCATGATGGGCTAGTTCCAAAAAACAAGTCTCATACTGAGTGACTGACATACTACCCAGTTGGAGACGCTCAAACAGATTACGGTAATCCTCTCTCAATATGATAGGAAGGAACTTCTCAAGAAATAGTTGAGAGAACTAGTCCCAACTAAGAGCAGGTGACCCAGCTGGTATAGTAGATACATAATCCTTCCACCACCTCTTGGTAGAACCCGTCATCTGAAACAATCGACCCCATTGGTTGCAAATGTGAACCTGTGGTGCCCAGCTATTCTTCACAATTGTGAGGAAGTATCTTTCAATTGTGAACCTAATAGGAGTTTTGCAGTGTCGCAAATGCAAGGTCTGACCTCACCTGAGGCCCGCACCAGAACTGAAGCACACCAACTTTGTTTTTCTAAGTCCAAACCACTCTGTAGCCTATCCGAAACTCACCCGAGCCAATGGGGCTCCAAACCAAACATGCACACAAGTCCAAAAAATATCATACAAATTTGCTCGCATAATCAAATCGCCAAAATAACACCTAGAACTATTAATCGGGCACCAAATCAAATGAAATTTTCAATAAAACTTTAGAATTGCTATTTTAACAACCGGACATTTGAATCACGTCAAAGTAACTCCATTTCTCTCCAAATTTGATAGACAAGTCAAAAATATAGTAACGGACCTATACTGGGTTCCACAAGCAAAATACGGACCCGATATCAATAAAGCCAAACATTGGTCAAACTTTTAGATTCATTAAGCCTTTAAACTTCAAATTTTAAACAAATTACAAAAACTCAAGCTAGGGACCTTCGAATTTGATTACGGGCATGTGCCCAAGTCCCAAATCACGATACGAATTCACCGGGATCATCAAATCATAGATTTGCATCCGTTTGCTCAAAATATTGATCGATGTTCTAAAGAAAAATTTCATATTTTATCAATTTCTAACACAACAGCCCTCTAGATAAAGTCCTGGACTGGCATGCAAATCAAGGAATGCTAAAATGAGGTGTTTGAGGCTTCGAAATACATAATTACGTTCTAAAACTCTAGATGATCTATTGGGTCCTCACATCACTTCTTGTGAATCCTAGCTTTGCCCAAATCAAAGCTCATTCAGAAGAGAAAACCAAAAAATACAAAGCCAAAACTATAATTCAAAATTCAGTGGCAAATTCAATCTTCTCTAAAATGATTGTATGTGAGATAATAAGAAGCTTGAAAAAAACTCAAATAGGAATATCAAGAAAGTGAACGAGGCAGACAAAATCAAATTTTGAATTTGAAAAGAGATATTTAATCTCATAGAATGCAAGATGATGAGACCATCATTAAGTATTGTAATAGAATTTCTTTAATTTCCAATAGAATCAGGTTGTTTGGCGAGGATTTTAAAGATGACAGTATAGTTAAAAAATTTCTTGTGATAATTTTCGAGAGATTTGAGTCCAAAATTTTCTCTATAAAAGAGTCTAAGGATCTCTCTACCATCTCTGTTGAAAAATTAACAAGCAATCTTCAAGCACAATAGCAAATAAGGGCCTTAAGACAAGACAAAGTTACTGAGGGTAATTTTTATATGGAACACCTAAAAGAAAAAGTCGATTATCCTAATTGCAAATATTTCAAAACAAAAACACACTTAAAAAGATTTTGTTGGTGGAGACCTGATGCATTATGTGTAAATTAGAAACAAATAGGTCATGTTACAAAAGTTTGCTAGTTCAAAGGTTCTCATGTCATGACCCAAAATCCATTAAAGGTCGTGATGGCACCGGACACCGCTGTCAGGCAAGACAATAATAAATAATTAATTTGGTTCTTATTTTAATATTTTTGAAATCATAAATTTTCCTTCAATTTAACTAGTAACAGATGAACTTTACAGAATATGATAGGTTACAAATACTTTGGGCATAAGTACTTTACTTTATATTTTGATGATGTAATCCATCCAGAACCAGATAAGGAACCTATTACACATTTACAAGACCTTAAGATCACAAAAGTTCCAGGTTGGGATCTAGCATGGGATATAACTCAACTCTTCAGAGCGGAAGGAATAGCTGAGGGAATAGGTCCCTACATGTTCCTGAGGAGACTGTACGAAGTTAACTCTCCAGTTAGAAAGTTGTTGCCTGCACATGCTACATTGCAGCAGTCAACTTTCTATGGAAGGCTTTTTACCTACCTTGCTTACATCATTAGAAGTGATGTCACACATCTATAAATACAATCAAGGAAGGTAAAACAACTTACTTCATGAGAGAACAAAATAAGGAATCTGATATAATTAAGTTCCCTTGCATTCAGAATAACTAGTTAGATGTCTGGTTCAATTCTCAATGAAATCAGATAAGGAAACAGCAGAGGGCTAGATAGGGATCAGTTCCCATCATCGTTCTACAGTCAACTCTACAGCTGTAAAGCTACTGCACTGTACCATCTGGCAGCAGTACAGCAGCACAGCTGTAGCTTGCTAAGGCCAAACTAAAGGGCACTTTATTGCATCATCCTTGATGACATCACACACACAAACAAACACACACATATATATTATCAACATGAGCAAAGGGATTTCATCTCTCTAACACTTGCAAAATCAAAAGAAAATATTCTCTCAAGTGCTAGCCACAACCTCTCTCAAGAACAAAGCTATTGCAACCTCAAGGACTAGATCCAAAGATTGACGATATCTTAAGTCCTTAAGTTTGTTGTGTCTTTGTTATTTGTTCTTCATTTGTAACTCCTACTTAGCTTAGTTAGAAGCATTGTGTAGGAAACCCTTTGTAAATCATAAACCCTCGTGTTTGTGTTTTTGGCTAGAGTTAGTCGAGTTGTAAAATTTTTGTAATAGAGTTATTACAAAGTGGCTTGTAATAGTATTGTTACAAGTTAGTGAGTGATTAACTATTTGTAATAGAGTTATTACAAAGTGGCTTGTAATAGTATTGTTACAAGTTAGTGAGTGATTAACTATTTGTAATAGAGTTATTACAAAGTGGCTTGTAATAGTGTAGCTACAAGTTAGTGAGGGATTAAGAGGTTAATTCCTAGGTTACAGTAGGTTGTAATCTAAAGATTGCTCAGTAGTGAAGTTGAAATCCTACAAGGGTAGGTCATGGTTTTGAATCCCGTTAAGCTGGGAGTTTTCCACGTAAAATTCCTCTGTGTTCTTTATTTACTATCGATTTACAGTGGGAACAAATAGAGAACTTGATTCCCTATACTATTTGGTTCTACAGTCTATTGCTTACGGTAGGAACTGATAGAGAACTTGCTTCTCTATAACGCTTAGTTTCTATCAGAATAAATAATAATGTTTTCCAATTTCAATACTGAATATCACATAATCCTCCCAGAATCCGGTGTCATAATTGAATGAGCATTTACTAGGAAAGAAAATAAAATACAACAACTGTCCAGAATACAAATTTGGACAGGAAAGAAAACAATGAAAATACCCTAAAGGAGACTCTGCTAGCTGCGGGTCATAATATGGAATGCAGCCCACCTAAGTCCCCGCGCCAACTATGTCGTTGTGCTAGCTAGGCCACTAGCCATATATGTGCATGTACAACAAAATGTACAGCAAGTATAGTATGAGTACGAAAATAATGCGTACCCAGTAAGTATCCAGTCTAATCTCGAAGAAGTAGTGACACAAGGCCGACTCCGACACGTACTATGGCCAACAATAATATATCGATAATATGATTAATCGTGAATTTTATAAGACGACTGTAAACTCAATAACATGAAACATGTAAACAATTCTTTTGTTAATAGAAGATTTCCAAATTTATTTTCGTCTTTCAACAATTTATATCTCCGACCAATGAAGCCACATCAAGTATCAATAATTCCAAAACAATCAATTAAGTCATGCGCAATCATGTCGAGGTCGTACGGCCCGATCCAACATAATATTTAAATTGTGCACTACCAAGGGTCGAACAACACAAATGATAGATGCATCTATTTTATCTGTCGAGGCATTCGGTCCGCTCCATAAAAGGAAAACACAATCCAACAGTCAATCAAGAATTCATAAAGGAGCAATTATCCAAGGAAATGTAAATCCTCTTTTACCGGTCAAGAAAATAAAGGTTAACCTCTTAGAAATTCATTTACTAAGCTTGATATGATTTAAGCAATTTATATTGACAATAAGGTTGTAAATATCGCAAGTATAGCATCTTTTGGGTCCTAGACTACCCGCAGTTAAGCATAATGGTAGCTACGCACGGACTCTCGTCACCTCATGCAAACGTAGACCCACAAATAGAAGTATGTAATAATTTAGTTCACATATGGGATTAATTCCCACTTACAAGGTTAGAAAAGAGACTTACCTCGCTCTAAAGCTCCATAACCGTCTCCCAAGCCCTTCCAGCGAATCAAACCAGTGCCCAACGCTCCAAAACTAGTCAATAAATGTGCAAACCTATAAAAATATACTCTAATACTCACAACAATTCAATTTAAATAATTTCCCAACTCCGCTCGAAAAGCGGATAAAATCACCCTCGGGCCCACGTGCCCAGATTTCTAAAATTTTCAAAGATAATCTTTATCCATAACTTCACGAACTCAAATATATAATTTATTCTCAATTACATGCCCAAATTCATGGTCAAAATTCAAAATACCAAATTCTAAATTTTCTATCAAAAACCCCATAATTTATACTAATTTGCATGTTTAAATCCTTATACAAATCATGTATTTAACTTATAATAAGTGGGGATCACTTACCTTGAGTTGCTTGATGAAAATCTCCCCTTAAAGCTCTCCAAAATTTCCTAACCCAAAGAACAATGGGAGAAAAATGGGCCAAGTCCCGTTTTAAAGAAACCTCACTGCCCACTGACTTTCCGCACCTGCGGACTCCTTGGCCGCATCCGCGCTTCCGCTTATGCGGCAACTTCTTTCGCACCTGTGGCACTTTCTGCTTCTACAATGACTAACCTCGCACCTATGCCATCGCAGGTGCGCAAACTTTTCTGCTCCTGCGGTTCTCAGCAACCTAACCCCCCTCCGTTTCTGCGAGTCATTTCCTGCACATGCGGACTCGCACTTGCAGCCCACTTCACGCAGGTGCTATTACACCGGATGCCTAGCTGCTTTAGCTCTTCCTCTAAATGCAAATTTGATCTGTTAACCACCCGAAATCCACCCGAGGCCTCCGGGCCCCCGTCCAATCATACCAACCAATTCTAAAACACATTACGAACTTAGTCGAGCCTTCAAATTACATCAAACAACATCAAAATTATGAATTGCAACCTGATTCAAGCTTAATAAAATACAAAAATATCTATGTTGTTGATTTTGAGTCTATGTAGAGTGGTGATCTCAGCTGTCTAAGTGTTGTTTATGATGATGCTAAATTATGGCATAGGAGGATAGATCATGTAAGCTTCACGTTGCTAAATAAATTGGTCAGGAAGGACCTGGTTCGTGGTCTGCCCAATTCAAGATTCAAGGATCACAAAGTGTGTGATGCATATGTAAAAGGGAAGCAAGACAGATCCTCATTCAAGCCCAAAAAGGAAGTCAGTACCTCGAGGTCACTTGATCTTCTTCACATGGATCTATATGGACCTATGAGGGTGCCAAGCAGAGAAAGAAAGAAATACATCTTCGTTATAGTTGACGTCTACTCCAGATTCATGTGGACTTTGTTTCTTAGAACCAAGGATGAAACTTTTGAAGTGTTTTTTGCCTTCGTCAAAAAGATCCAAGTGAAAATGGGTAATAAGGTAGCTTGCAACACGTCTAATCATGGGACAGAGTTCAACAATCCCAAATTTGTTGAGTTATGTACTGAAAATGGTATCACTCACAATTTTTCTGCTCCAAGAACACCTCAATAAAATGGTGTTGTCGAGTGGAAGAATAGAACTCTTGAAGATATGGCAAGGAAAATATTGATTGACAGTGGGATTGCAAAGAATTTCTGGGTAGAAGTTGTCAACACTGCTTACTACTTGGTGAACAGGTGCATGATCAGGTCCCTTCTGAACAAAACTCCATATGAAATGTTGAATGGAAGGAATCCTAAGCTGACACATCTAAGGACTTTTGGGTATAATTGTTTTGTCCTCAATAATGGAAAGGAAGCTCTTGGAAAATTCGATGCCAAAAGTGATGAGGAAATCTTTCTAGGCTATTCATCACACAACAAAGCCTACAAAGTGTATAACAAAAGAACTCAATGTGTTGAGGGAAGCATTCATATGATCTTCAATGAATCTCGTGACCCATGTAGAAAGAATTTGAATGATAAGAATGATCAAGACGGAGAACAGTTATTGGTCCCTGGTGAAATCATTGACATGGCAAATGGAAAAGCTAATATGATGAGCCACGTTGAGGAATCAAATGAGGATGGTGCAACCATATCTCCAATTGACGGAGAGGAACCTGGTCCCTCAATTACAACAACTGAAGCTGAAAATAGAGTTGTCGATGTTTTTCAAGGAACTCCACATGCTGAGACAAGAAGAAATCAAGTCTTACAGGCAGAAATACCTGGAACTTTGCACAATGAGGTTCAGGTGTCTAACTGGAAACACAAAAGTTCACACTCCATTGATAACATCATCACTCCTATTGATTCAGGAATTCAAACCAGATCAAAGACCAGAAACTCACTTGCCTTCTCAACTTTTCTCTCTCAAATAGAGCCCAAAAATATCAAGGAAACACTAAAAGATGCAGACTGAATTACAGCCATGCAGTAAGAACTTCATCAATTTGAGAGGAACAAGGTATGTCACCTGGTTCCTCGACCTGCAGATCGAATGTTATAGGAACCAGGTGGTTATTCAGGAACAAGCTTGATGAGTTTGGAAACACAACAAGAAACAAGTCAAGGCTTGTAGTTCAAGGCTACAATCAAGAAGAAGGGATTAACTATGATGAAACTTTTACCCCAATCGCTTGAATGGAGGCTATCAGAATTCTTATTGCCTTTGCATCACATATGGAATTCAAACTGTTCCAAATGGATATCAAAAGTGCATTTCTGAATGGCTTCCTAAAAAATTTTATGTCAAGCAACCACCTAGATTTGAGAATCACGAACATCTTGAGCATGTGTTCAAACTGGACAAGGCATTGTATGAGCTAAAGCAGGCTCCTTGGGCTTGGTATAAAAGGTTGTCAAAATTCCTTCTAGAAAATGGCTTTACAAGAGGGAAAATTGACAACACCTTTTTTTCTGAAGAAACGGGGGAGGAACCTGCTCATTGTGCAGTATATGTTGATGATATCATTTTTGGAGCCACAACTGACTCTCTATGTGAAGAATTTGCAAAACTCATGGGGAGTGAGTTCGAGATGAGTATGATGGGAGAATTAAATTTCTTCCTAGGACTTCAAGTGAAACAATCTCAAAAGGGAACATTGATAAGTCAGCAGAAGTACATCAAGGAGCTATTGAAAATGTTTGACATGGAAGAATTAAAAGTTATTGACACTTATATTGCCACAGCTACTCATCTAGACATGGATGAACTTGGTTCCCCTGTAAATCAGACCATGTATAGAGAGATCATAGGGTCACATATGTATCTCACTACAAGCAGACCAGACAGTGTGTTCAGCGTGGGTCTCTGTGCAAGGTTTCAATTCAATCCAAAGGAATCTCATCTGAAGGTTGCCAAGAGAATATTGAGATATCTCAAAGGAACGTAGGACCTGGTTCTCTACTATCCCTCAGGAGACAACTTTGATCTTGTTTGGTAAGTTGATGCTGATTATGTTGGATATCTGGTGGATAGGAAAAGTACGTCCGGAATTGCACATTTCTTGGGTTCTTGTCTAATATCACGAGGTACAATGAAGCAAAACTCAGTGGCACTCTCAACTACAGAAGCGGAATATGTAGCAGCTGCTTCTTGATGTGCTCAACTACTGTGGATCAAGCAGCAGTTGGAAGACTTGGAGTGTTCTCTGACTGTGTGCCCCTCTTGTGTGACAATACAAGTGTACTCAATATGGCCAAAAATCTAGTCCAACATAAGAGAACCAAGCACATTGATGTGCGTCATCACTTCCTCGGAGACAATGTTGAAAATGGGCTCATTTGCATGAAATTTTGCAGCACAGAAGATTAGATTGTTGATATATTCACCGAGGCATTAAGCAGAGAACATTATGAAAGAAATCTCCTGGCACTAGAGTTGATAAAACCTAAGTAAAAACCTGGTCCCTTGATGATTGGCTATGAAAGAAATGTCCAGGTAAAATTAGATAAATAAAGTGTTTTCTGAGAAAGTCTAACTCATCTTTATAACTTTACAGGTAGACACGCATGATGATTACACAACAAATAAGCAGTTGATATAGTGTATGCTGGGAAAAGGGCAAAGCTTACAGATGCAAGATTAGTCAGGGAACTTGGTTCTTCTGAAACATGTTAGTAGTTTCTCTGTTCTCTCATGCACAATTTTGGACGGTTAAAATAAGTGTCATATCGTCAGTGTGTTAGTTTCTTTTCCTAGCATCTTTTGAACACAAACGTCTCCTCCGTTGGTAATCGACCTGACTCCCAAAACTGCCTCTCTTTCTAACCGGTCCCGTATCCATCTTAAATAGATCTATCACTGTCATAAGTCTTCACATCAAACTTCAAACTTTTCCTTATTCTTTCCTCTTCAAACTACCAAATCCCTTCTCTTCTTCTCACCATGGATGAAAATCATGCAACCTCGAGTGTTCCAAGCAACACACACATTGAGTCTTCACTAGTTAAAACACTGATGTCATACTCCTCACTAAACACCACTACTTACCAAAACCCTAACAGAGTCACCATCATACTCAGTCTACTCACCTACACAATCGAGTTCTGGTTGTCATAGGAGCCGCAAAAGCTCGACCCCTAAAAGGTTTGTGGCTACGAGTTCTCCCTTTGCCTTGCCGTAAAAGCTAGGTAAAAAAGGCATAGTTGAAGAAGAGGAAAATCAAGAAATATCCAGTCTTCCTATGGACAAAGGTTCAAATGTCGACCAAACTGCTAATTCTGAGGATACTGACTCAACGAAGATAGTTCCTAATCTTGAGTCCATAGGTAACACTCCTCCTACTCCTACATTGTCCATGGATTTACAAGAGAAAGAAGTAATAAAAAACATGTTATCTATAGTAAATGAAGGGGTTATTATCGAAGGAGGTGAGGATGGGTCTGAGTCTAAGACTTTGATAGAAGGTAAGGAGCTTGTGCCTATTGAACCATCGGCACAGGAGAGTGCTACTGGGGAACCTGCGGTAGGACCTGATCCCTCTTCGGAGGATCCAACTCAGGGTCCTCTCAAGAACCCCAGGTCAGCACTAACCCTACTCTCTCCCCCCATTTATATGTTGAGCCTCTGTGTGTGGTTGTGCCTGAGATGAGATCTGTGTCTAAATAACAAAATGGGGATAGTGAAGGATTCTGATAATTTGCCAATTGCCAGCTTGGGTAAGTGGAGACCAGTTGTTGCTCTAGAGTCTACTCCTAAACAACCTACTACAAGGTTGCAAAAGAAGGAGGCTCTTGAGTTTGCTCTTAAGAATAGCCAAGTTAAATCAAGAAGAAGAAAATTGATGAAAGATGGGAAGTTTGTGAGTGAAAAGGCAGTGTCTGTTGTAACTGTGGATGATGAAGAAGAAGAAGAAGAAGAGGAACCTAGTTCCTTAACTAGAAAGCGCTCATAGAAGCATGGTCTCCCCAAGCCCAAAAAAGGATCTTCTGTGAATGCTGAAAATCTGAACAAGGTTGATAATGGTGTCTCTAGTGAAAATGTACTGAAGGAATCTGGTGATAAGTTGGTGGTAGAGTCTGGTGCCAAGGTGATGGAAGAATTGGGTTAAAATTATGTGAAGTCTGATGAAAAAGGGAAGTATGTTCGCAAGTCTGTTAAAAGAAAAGTTGATGTTGATGAGGAACCTGGTTCCTCCAAGAAGATCAAAGTTAGTGATCCCCATAGTGTTGGGAAAGAGAAATTGAGGAATCAAAAAGTGTTATGGGGCCGCATATTTGCCCCTAACATTTTTGAAGAGGCTGGAATACGACAGTTGGTTGAAATTTGTTAGTTTCAACAGTGGACACATTTGTTCACAAATGATGCTCCAAAAGTGTATGAGGAGGAAGTACAAAGATTCTATATCGGCTTCTTCAAAGTTGAGGATGATCACATCTGTGTACTGGTGAATGGAGTTGATATGGTAACGGACTTTGCCTTGTTGGGGTCTATTCTGGGTGTGCCTGCTGAAGGGTTGTCTATTGTTCAGTGAACTGTTCTCAAAACTTCAAAAACACTATCCTGAAGGACAGAGCAGTTCAGCAAGGGAAACGGGTACAGAAAAAGGCTCTCCTTCCAGTTTACCAATTGTTATTTGAGATGGGGAACAAGGTCTTGCTCCCTCATGCTGAAAGAAGATTTATTACTTCTCGTGCACACATGTTCCTCATGGAAGCACTGGACAACTACACTACCATCAATTTGCCTAGTATCATGATAGAGCACATGCAGCAAGTTGTAGATTTTAAAGATGGTAATCATGGGCTGCATTATGGGTTCCTTCTCACCAATGTTTTTGAGTACTTCAAGGTTCCTCTGGGATAAGCTAAAGTGGTCACTAAGAAGCAACCTTCTCCAGGTTCACTCTCGAAGAATGTGAGTGCATTGATAGGGCTAGAGAAGCTGGAAGTACTTCTACCATTTCTCAGTAGATCAATGCTCAGAACAGTGCCACTGCTGAGATAAGGCAGTTGAAAGCAAGGTGTCACACCCTTTTTTTTCACTCATCACTAACCCTCTTAAAAATAATAAAAGGATTTTGAAGCTCAAAAGGGTTTTCAATTTTGAAAGTGACAAAGTATTTATGTTTCGAAAGATTATTCAGAGTCGTCACCTGACATTTGATTTTGATGTGCCAGGTCACCATTTTCAAAATAACAATTTTCCTTCAAAACACATTTGATTGTTAAACCAGTTTGCACCAGAGATTCAAGGTAAGGGAGTTTATTTGACTCGAGGAGAAGTTGTTAGGCATTCCCCGAGTCCCATAACTAGTACGGTTGCATACTCGATCTAGTTGGTTTTAAAATATTCGAATTGAGGTGATAAATACAGAAATGGGAAAATTAACACATAAGAGGCTCAAGATCATTCTCACCTAATAAAAGAAAGATAAAAATAAAAAAAAAAATAAGAATAAAAGTATTATGAGTTCGCTTTCGACCTCCAATTACAGAATACTACGGGGCATTCCCCGAAATAAAATATATACAAATCCTTCGAGGTATTCCCCGGATATATTTAACTAAGGGAACGACCTCTCTTCTCAAAACTAACAAAAATCCAAAAGTTTGCCTACCCAGGTGATGACGGCCTAAATATGCTCCTAATGAAGTAAACGAATAATAAAGCTATAAAAAAAACAATGAAGATTTAAGATCCAAATTTTCGTTTTTCACTTTTTTTAATGCCCAAAACCTTCGGCTTATTTCATCATCCAAGACAAATCAATTTACAATTGTCCATTTATCTTACCCAACACAGTAGTACTTTCAAATCTAATACAAGTTGAATACCCAGCGAAAACGTGAAATCATTTGCACTCACTCAACTATAAATCATAAATTATTTATACAACAACCACGAAGAAGCAATTAAAATAAAAACAGATATTAGAAACAAGAAAGCACAAATAGAAATCAAATGGGATTAGTGAAGAGAAATAGACCTTAATATTGAATCTAAAATTTGAATGTTCGGACAACTTCGAAACGCATAAGCAACAAGATTGTGAACAGTACCTCCGACGGAACTCGCGCTCGTCAGCTCCACACGGATCTCACACGACTCAGCCTCAATCGAACTCCATTGAAAATCAAAGGCCCGAAATTGACGAGAAGAAACATCATCTCCTTTATATATATATTTTTTCAAAATCTCTTTAGAATGAAAAAGATTTGTCAGCAATTGAGGACACACTGCTGTCCGATAAGGCTACACTTGTAGATGAAGCAGTAACTGTAAATTAAAGTTTGGGAGGAGACGCTACTTTTGTAAATGGACCATAAAATATGAGATGGAGCATTGAGATTCGTTGCTCTTTGGATTTTCGTTCCCATCCCCCTTTTGCTTTTCTGCTTCGTTTTTTAATTCCCACTCTCGTTCCCGTACCTTTCTGGGTCTTAGGAGATTATGCCATAATAATTGAAGTTTTTAATAATTAACATCGAACAAGGAAATAGAGAAACAACATAAATTTGAAAAAGGAAAGGGAATAAAGATCAAAGGCTAAATTAGGACGTAAAATGGATGGGAAGTTGGTATCGTTGAGATTGGCAGAAAAATGTTTGGATGAATATGCTGGGTGTTTTTTGAAATGAAGGAATTAGGTGCGGCCAATTTTTCTCTTGTCTCTAGGGTTGAGGTTTGTGAAAAGTATTATAATTATATCGTTTGGGGAAAGAACCTTGGCCATTGAATTAAAGAGGATGGATGGCTCAGATTAGATGGGTTAATGGGTTGAGTGTTGGGTTGTTCCGATTTGGGCCTTTGGTGGCTAGGTTTGTGCTCAAAATTGGCCTAATTAATCAAAAATCTATCAACCAAATATTAAGTCATGCCTATTAAATAAAATAAAGATAAAAATACTACTAAAATATTAATTAATCCTACTTAAGTAGAATAAACTATTAAAATAAAATTAATCATTAAAACAAAGCTATTTTTGCGGTATTTTTCAAATATCAAAAATAAAAATAGGATTAGATTAAAATCAACACGAAATTAAAATAATATTACTACCAAAAATACATTATTCTTGAAAAGGATATGTAATGGGGTAAAAAACAAAGTGAAACTATTTTTTTGTGTTTTTGAATTTTATGTTCTACTATTAGATTAAAAGTGAAAAATAGGCTAAATCCTATAAAAATAAAAATAAATAAATATTTTAAAAATACTACTTTTAAAAGTTACGCTGGTCAAAAATTACGTGCTTACAGCTGTCCCTCTTTACTTGAAAACCCGAAGAGTATTTTGAGCAAAGAACAATAAGCAACATAATTGATTTATGACCCGACGCTTATTCAAAATGAAACAAAGATGGACAAAAGATTGTGACTGAACCCTGGTATTTGAGCTGCCTACATATCCTTGGCTATAGAGGAATCAGGTCACGTGTAGTTCAGAAGTAGGAAAAAACGATGAAGTATGTGGAGAGGATGAGAGAGCCGAGTGAGATACCGTTCCATCGAGGTTCGATCCGCGGTCCTATTATTATATCAAATCAAAATCTAAAAGAAATAATCAAGCCTATCTGCTATGAATTACAAGATTCGTATCTATAAGTCTACTAAAGCTTGATCTTGAGTCTTGAATGGTTCTTCATTCAGACTTTTGATTTGAACCTTTATGCTTGCTAGCTACAGGTGCTGATTCATTCTTCCACGACTTCTTCGGATCAAGACCGGACATGCAGTGCTCGTAACTTCAACCATGTCTTGAGCAGTTCACATCTTTCATCTGCTTCTGCATTTGGATTTACTTATTTTTTTTCTTTTTTTTTCATTTTAGATTGAGACTTCTTCTTTTGGTCATATCGGACTGTCGACTCGCATTCTTGAGGCGAGGTTCTGGTACTTCTAACTTGAATTGAATTCTGAAATGACTTCCCTCGTTCTTCAAGTGGGCGCCTGCTACTGACTTAAAATTTGAAGTAACTTAGAAAAGAATTTCCTCATTCTTCAGGTGGGTGCCTGCAATCAAAACAACAAAACAAACAAAATTTTCTGCCCCAATTTGCACTAGGAAGATTTGCGAGTTGTTAGCAAAACTATAAATCACCTATGCTATTGATGCAATGATTAGAGTAAAACTAAAGACTCGACTAGGATGTGCGTCTCCTAGGGATGAACTCAAACGACTCAAACTAGGAAGTGCATATCCTAGGGATGAAACTTGAATGAAGGAAGTGTGTCTCCTAGGGGTAAAATCTTAGTTTAGGAAGTGTGTCTCCTAAAATAAAAATATAACCTAAAAGACCCAGACTAGGAAGTGCGTCTCCTACGGGTGAAACTTCAATTACTCAAACTAGGAAGTCCGTCTCCTAGGAATGAACTTAAATGACCCAAAACTAGGAAGTGTGTCTCCTAAAACAAAAATATAACCTGAAAGACCCAGACTAGGAAGTGCATCTCCTAGGAATGATGTGTGATCTTCTCAATAGCCTTTGCGTAAACAGAATAGGGGCATTACACCTGAAAAATTCAAGCTTTGATATGAATATAGCCTTCATCCCTGTTTCAGACAAAGAAAACTTGTGAGTTTAAAACTTGGTGGTTAGTTTGTGGCATAGATTACGAGGAAAATTTCTCATGCACTTGTCACGATCAACTTGGACTTCAACTTGGAAGATAGTGCTTGTTATCGGTAGATTGCTTTTTCGGACAACCCTTATCACAAGAAATATTCCTGATTCGTTCAAGTCCAATACCTTATGCCCGATGCATTGTACTCGTGTTCTAACATTCACCAAATCTTTGCATTTTACATCAATCCCAAAGAACATCTATTATCACCAATTCAGTGCACACACTATTCTCCTATGTCTTATGTCATTTGATGTGCTTGCCAGACTCGGCTTTTGTGTGATTAAAAAGTCGGCAGTAGATTTTGAAGTCATTTCTCATTTGTTTCGACAAAAATAGACTCAAAAGGGACTCAAACAAAACAAAAGGAACAAAATAAGGGAAATTGTTAGTTTAATTATAATATTTTTAGATTTAAGTTGAGTTCAATTAATAACAAGAAGAGATGGTATCTAACAAGAAAATATTTTTACCCAGGAAAAAGAACAAAGTAGAAACTAATCTGATTTGAAGGCCATCTCCACTAACCATGACATGTATTTTGGATTAAGCGGCCTGATTTGTCAAGCGAGTCTAATCTTCAACTCTTGTTATGCCTCTAAGTTGTGAAACTGGGCTTCAGCGCTCCAATTGTCCTATTCGATCCACAATCCTCAATCGACTTGTAGTGCCCTGAAGGGTTTTCACCATCAAGCCTCTCTCATTTTGCTCATTTTCTCAACTTACCGTCGCCTTACCGTGCCCATGAGGGTTTTCACCGATAAGACACTCTCATTTTATCATTTTCTCTCTTTGTGCTGAGAACAAGGTATTACCCATGATATAAGAAGATAATACTTTTACCACACACTTTATTTGGCATCCTCAAATATTGGTCAAAAGGTTTTTCTTTGGGCCTTGATGTAGGCTTTTGGACAGGGTTGGAAAGAAAGGGTGACATGAATGCTCAAAATAATTTAAGATGAAAGGGTTTAAAATTATAACTTTTGGAATCAGATCTTTTGGCCAAATTAAAACTTCTTCCCAGTTTATTAGAGTCTGGGGATTTTATTTTTTATTTTTTTTGCTTTGATGGGACCTAACCTCAGAGTAAGGCTGTCTACGTATCCTTAAAAGGAATTAGGCCGAACGTAGTTCCAACACAAAGTTGGTTTATTTGTTGTTTTTCTTTTTTTTCCTTCTTTTTTTCTTTTCTCCTTATTTTTCTTTCTTCTCTTTTTCTTCTTTTTCTCTTTTATTTTCTTTTTCTTCTTTTTCTCTTTTACTTTTTCTTTTCTAGTTCCTAACTCTACTTCTGATTCCAAAATAAGGGTATGAAACAAAAAAAAATTAGGGCTCAAAAGGGGTAGCAAAAGATAAAAGTGTTTGGGTAGCGGAATAAAATTCCTTCGTCATACAAACTTTAAAAATGCTAAGTACAAATATGCAATTGAAGATAAGAAAAGAAATCATACATAGTATCTATTAATGGAATCAACACAAACAAAAGTATCTATGGCCAATACCTCTGTCCCAATGGATGACCCTTGCCAGTTCGAAGCAGACTTGACTCAACTTTATCTCGATGTAGAAGAAAGTTTCAACACTGACTGATCTACCTCAAACTGCTTGAGAGACATTCCCTTTTTGTATGCTATCATCAACCTCTTGATTTTCCAAACTAACTGCCTCAGGTTCACTCAATTCAAGCTTTAGGTTATCTTAGAATGCGTGAATCTTTACTTGTTTCCTCAAATGCATCTTTTTATCATATTCAAAACTATGTTTCATTATTCCATGATTAGATTGGCTTTCGATAACTGGTTAAAAGTTCTACATGCATGTCATGTCATTAGAACTAGCCTGAAGAGAACTATATACAAGAAAAGAACTAAACGAAGAATACAAATCACAGAAAAACAAAATCTCATTTGACCAAAGGGCGGAAGGGTTTGAACAGTAGAATAAAATCTATATTAAAGCCCCAAAATAACCCTAGATGACAAACTTAGAGACACAAAACTAACTAACAAGACTCCTAGAGATAGGAAAAAGAGGATAGAAGGGTTTGAATCACCAAAACAAATAAGATAAATCTATATTACAACCCCGAAATAAGCAGATAGCAGAAAAAACATAAAAACAAGGTACCAAGATTCCTTTCTAGTGAGGAGAGAATGACCTTTCAATTACTAAGCTTGATATTTAGCAACAAATTTGCTCATAAAAATTACCAGGGCCTTCTCCAATTTCAAAATCATTAACTTTAGTCAGCAAGTTCCTGATAGGATTTTCATACTCCCTGTCACCATGCATTATCCCCACAAAGTGTTCATCATTATGTGCATGTAAAGGACTCTGCGCGATGTTCTGGGTGGCACTGTCCTGGACCACAATTATCCCTTCTTGAATCATTCTTTTATCTCCATTTTCAAAGCACGACAATCTTTTATGTTATACCCTTGGACATTAGAGTGGTACATGCACCGTACAGCAGGATCAAAACCTTTTGCATATGGGTCTGGAGTATAACCGAAGAGCGGTTCAATCAAGCCAGAATATTTTAACTTTTCAAACAAGCTTGTGTGGGATTCCCCGATTGATGTGAAACTATTTCTTTACCTTTGTTCCCCTCCATGCCCATGTTTTCTAGGGTTGTTGGATGCTCTAAAATATTGTGAAGGCAAGAGTGCATTATGCAGTGTTGGCGCTCGCCATAAGGAGTGACCTAGTGGTTGGACGGATGACCAGACGTTATTTGTAGGATAATACTGGGGTCGGGGTCGAGGCTGAGCATATTGGTGAGGCGGACCCGTTGGGCCATGCCGTGATCCTGAGAAACCATGCCAACATCATCATTTTTCTTCTGGCCCGGCAAGCTTCATGTGTCATTCTGAATTTCTTGTGTTTTTGCTTTTAAGGCAGAATAGCTCATGATCTTGCTTGACTACAGCCCATCTTCTACCATTTCTCTCATTTTTACCACATCATTAAAAGGCTTACCCACACCCGAGATCAAATGCCCAAAGTAAGTAGGCTCTTGAGCTTGAAGAAAGTACCCAACCATCTCGGCTTCTTCCATCG